ATTTTTCTATTTATTACTAGATGGCTGCACTAAAGTAGTTTTGGAACTCCATATTTGTTAGGATCTTAGAGAAGCAAGGTGAACTATGCGCGGTTAGTCCACTGTGCTACTGACAGTTAGATGTTTTTCATCAAGTTAAAAAACTTCATCAAAAGAAGGTGAAGAGTGCTAGAGATTCTTTAAAAAGAGACTCCGAAATGGAAAAAAAAAGGAAACACGTCGGCTATTTGTTTCGATCGGATGAAGACTTTACCTACACCTATGCTTACCGCAGGAATTTGTTACTACAAACGGCAATTATGGACCTACTGCTCTATTATTCATGAAATGGGAACTTAAAACTCATTTATGTTTGTGAAGGATGAAACCGTCGCCTCTAGGGGTCCTAAGAGGTAGGATCCTACATTTTATTTTACATAAAAAATTTCTAAAATCTGTAAAGACTTTATTTTAATAAGTTGAAATTTAATTATGATTATAAACAATAAATTAAAAGCAATAAAAATAGTTCAAAGCAAAGTTTTAACTTGCATAACAATAATTAAGCCATTTATAAAACAAGAATTAAAATGGAAAATACTTACTTTGAAACTACCACTACTTGAACAAGTTAATGCCACAGTCTGCTGATTAAATAATCTATAATAAATAATATTTTTCACTGACACAAGTTGAAAATAATTAATTATTCATTCAATAGTTTTAAATTTGTAGTGCACCTGACTAAATTTGTATTTTTATTTGTATTTTCGAAGTGAAAATTGAAACGTCAATAAATGTACTTTAACCTTTAATTGTGGCTTATTCCCATTTAAATAGTAATTATTTTAAAATGCCACAAGAAAATAGCTTCAGAACAATATTTTAAATATTACAATTTTCAATGAAAAAGTAATTAAATACGTTTAGTTAAAACTTTTTTGTTGAAAATACACAAAATATTTTACTCAAAAGTGTACTGCTTTCTAAAACCACTACACTGACACTGACGAAATTTTGGAGCGTGTAGCTGAAACAGTTTTCTCCACTTTCTTATGTCGATCTTTCGAAAGTACCTTCGTTACGAAGGGCTGTAAGTTTCGAAAAATTGGATGAATTTCATAGGTATAAATTTCAATATAAAGTTTAGATTTGCATTCAAAATTTATACAAATGTTACTTCTTAATGTTTATAAACAATGGGGAATTTTTTTAAAAATGATCGCTAACTTGGTTCCTATTGGTCATAGAAGGTTCTTTTTTTATGTGAGTTTTTTACCAGCTATCCAATGGTTGTACGTACAAGTCTGTAGCTTGAAAAATATAGAAGTTATAACAATTGTTTATAAGTAAAAAACATTCCCCTTTTTCAAACGTTTATTTTGTAAATAATTTCGATGAAACCGTAATATGCATTTAACTTCTGAGATAGTTTAAGTCTTAAAGAATCCTATGAAATTTGCTAAATGTGTCTAGCATTATTCATAGGGCAAATTCAATAGTTTAAATAATTAGCCTCAGGTATAAATAAATGAAATAACTTTTAAGCTATTTGACCGGTCGGGGGAAATTTCGCACAAATTTAAAAGACTAATTCCTCGATGTTGAAATGTATTAATAACATTATATTTTGTTAATAAAAAAATTAATAAAATTTATAAATTAGTGAGAAAAAAACTGCTTTCTTGCAAATATCTCCGTAAATTATTTATCAATTTTAATTGAAAAAACGATAAAATAAAGATATTCTTGATATAAAAAAAATGATATAAATATTGTTTATTTAAAATATAAGGAAAAAAACTTAAAAATCTAATTGTGGCCATAAATTATTGTTTAAAAAAAACGCAAGGTGAAAATACGAGTACTTTTTCATCTATTCGTCATCTAGTAACCCCCACTTATGTCTTAAAAGCTTCAGATATCTGCGAAATTTTTCCGTTAAATCGATGATTTTTGCATAACCAGACTGGGCTAATAGGTTTTTAGAGTTACATACAATTGATTTTAATTTTATTTTAAATTAATATATTATATTAGTTCAGGGACTAAGTAAATATTAAAATGTCAAAACATGTCTACGCTTACCTTAGTACATTAAGTTATTTTGTGATACCAGTGAGTCTTTTCAAGCTATTTTTTGCGCTTTTATTTATTCAGTATAAATTGCACGTTTAAATTTTAACGTAATAAAGTTTTGCTGTGGTTTGATATGTACTGCATGCATTATACTAGTTTGATGTCAAATCGAGATTAAATAAGAAAATATAAACTGAAACCTTTATATATCTTCATTATTGATACATTTTTAAATCAAACTTCTCTTTTGATTTCTATTCTATATTGTCTATCATAATTTTTGGCGTAGATGGTAATTATCAATACAATTAGTGTATTTGGAAGAACTACCACTCAAACTTTGAGTAATATGCTGCACTAATCAGTGAGTGCACACATTCAAGAGTTTTCCTGTGAGAAATGTGCAAACAGTACAGTCGAGCACCTGTAATTGAGGCTAACACATTTCGGAATTATGGCGGTTATACATATATAAATATTTAATTGATATGAGGTCGAATGCTCGAATAATGGAACTTTGAAAATTAAGGCAATTATATCGAGCACAAGTTTAATCAAATCTTGCCCAAGTACTTTCGCTTAATATAGCATCTTCAGGGGCATTTCGTCAAATATGGGCTATCCAGCAAGCGTAGAGCAGCAAGCATATTACACTCTATTTAGCCCATATTTGATGAAATGCCCCTAAAGATGCTATATTAAGCGAAAGTACTTGGGCAAGATTTGATTAAACTTGTGCTCGATATAATTGCCTTAATTTTCAAAGTTCATATATAAATATGTAACATTCTTATAGGTCCTATATACTGTAGTCTTATAAGTCCGACTTCTTCGTTAAAGTGACGATTGCAAAATTAAATCATTAACATATTAGGGAAGGGTTCTGTGGTGCACCAATTTTTTGTTACGGGGTCTCACTAAGAAAATATAATACCAACTATTTTTGATACGGCCCACCCTACAATATGGTGTTGGCATTTTCCTTCTACATTTTTTAATTCTCTTTCACCTTGATACAACCATGTTGAACAGTTTCCTAAGCTGTCACAGTCTCTCGACTTTTTAAAGTGTCCTGAGTCTCTTTTGCTTTTATTATATCTTCAGGAATATCACGATTATCTTTTGAAGATACCCATAACATCTGAGAAACGGTTGGACGTGGCGAAACTGTATATATATATATATATATATATATATATATATATATATATATATATATATATATATATATATATATATATATTCAGTATTCAGTTAGTCTACAAAAGTAAAACGAAAATTTTGGGAACCAGAGATCTTTCAACTTGACGACTTTTTCAACTGCAAAAAAAAATAAGTCGCACAGAGCCAAATCTAAAGATTGCGGTGGATGAGGCAGCAGTTTGTAGCCCTATTCGACCAATTTAGCTGTAGCGACATCAAAGGTGTGAACCGATGCGTTGTCATGGTGGAAAAGAGCACTTTTCTCTTCTCCAAGTGAGGGCGTTTTTTCTGCAATTCGGCGTCGAATCGGCCCAATAAGCATAGTATTTCTGTGACCATATTGTCCTTCAGATAGTCCATGCAGATCACACCTTGTGAATCCCAGAAAACAGTGGCCATCACCTTCCCGGTCGATAGGACAGTCTTCGCCCTTTTCAGAGCATGTTCTCTGGGTAAAGTGCACTCGTAGTGTTTTGTCAAAACAACGCAAAAACTCCTTCGAATTGCGCTTAAGTAGATAAGTAGATATTCTTTTTAGAAGAAAATCAAGTAGGAAGAGAATATGAAACAAATATTCTGATATTAGTTTTATATGAAAAAAATGATTCATGATTTTTGAAAAAAATCATAAAAATACGACAAGCGGACCGGAAATCAAATTAGAATTGAAGTTTTTTCTAAATTTATATATAACAGAGTTAAAATTAGAGACACAACATTTATAGATTTAACGTTAAAAAACTGTCTCTTAAAAATTGCATAGTAACCGGATGCGTGATTTGAAATAGAAAGTTCGTTCTTCATAAAAATAAATGTTTTTTCTTATTACATGTGTCAAAAATCGTCCCACTTATATATAAACTTTTCAGTATTTAGAAACATTATTTCCTATCATTAGTTTAAATGGATTAGACATTGGCATTCCACTCTTAATATTATTTTAGTTCTCCCTAAATATTGTTTTACTACATTTAAAGACATTTTTTAAAGTCATCAAATATAAGGGTTTCAGATTTTATTAGTTACACTGTATAAAAAAAAGTTCATACTAGTTTTTTTAATAATATTCACCACAAATTTGGAAAATATTTTTCCGGGTTGTAAATTGGGTTGAGTTTACTGAAAGTACAAGCTGATTATAGCTGCAAATGTCAAACATGGAACAAGAAGTTTCGGTTTAGCAGTGTTGGTATGTTTTTATATTGTATAAGCCGTATGCTTCAAATATAAAGAGATAAAGCTTTAGAAAAGTACATTTTGATTATATTATGTTATGAATTCTGCAATTTTTGATTTATATAAAACAAGAATGAGTAAATATTTGTTTCTTTAAAGATTAATTGCAGTTAATTATTGGAAATGTTTTTGGGAATTGCCTTTTGATAGATTAGGGGATAGATTTGGCATTCTTCAAATCAGCAGTTGCCAGATTCCAACCGATGTTAGCAATTAATCTCGAAAGAGACAAATATTTACTCGTTATTGTTTCATATAAATTTAAAATTGCAGAATTCATAAAATAGTATAATCAAAATGTACTTTTTAAAAGCTTTACACTGTCAAACCGAAATATTTTATTTCCTGGTTGACATTTGCGGCTATATTCAGCTTGTAATTTCGGTAAATTCAACGGTAAATTGTGTTAAATTATATGTTTTTTTTATATGGAGAAATAATATTAGTATGGACTTATCCACTATTATTTACATATTTTCTAATAATCAATTTTATGTTCGCAGGATGGTAGATGTAGGGGGACAGAGATCTGAAAGAAGAAAATGGATCCATTGTTTCGAAAACGTTACTTCCATCATCTTCCTAGTAGCTTTAAGTGAATATGACCAGATTTTATTTGAATCTGAAAATGAGGTACGTATATAAGTATATTATTTCTAGTATCTGCTAATAGGAAGAAACATGTGTGATTCATTAACATTCCACTGGTATGCTGCAGGATTAATTAATTCCCGCATAATTTTCCAAAACTTATCTTGTCTTACCTCAGGATTATTTTCTTTCACTGTACTAAAAATTTTACCTAGTCATAATTTCCATCTTAAAATAGAATCGATTTTTCTTATGGTACATATGTATTTGTTTTCGTTTGTAGGTTTTCTAACTGTTACGGTTCTATCCTTTCATTTACATGTAAGTATATGTAGATATTGGTAGGAAGATTGTCGACTTGTCAATTCCTTTCATGTCTGAACATAATTTCACCATATAATTACTTTTGCAATTTTTTGGTGTTAAAACACGTTAAAAATACATTACACAAAAAATCTTTTTCATCGTTTTTTTAAGGCTGATTTTGTCTTATGTTTAACTGGAATGAATCTCAAAAGACTTTCCATTTTTAATAGTACAAGAGACGTTTTTATTTACTGTGATACGAATTAGAATATAACACTATACCTTGTATTAGCATTATCTATTAAAAAGAGCAAATTGCCTTGAAACCCTCATCCGTATTTTCAGTTGTTGTGAATAAAGGGCCTTTTCCCAGGAAAAATTTTAAATACTGAATAATAGTTTTTCATTTACTGATTTTAATCTTCTAATCCTGCAATTTGCATAATTAATAAGGATAATAGCCAGTTACTCTTTCTTATTCTTCAAAAATTTGTACAGAATGTGTAGAAGTTCAGGTATAGAGCTATTTTATAAGAAATATTTTTCATACTTGTATCTTGAAATGATTAGTTATTTATTAAGTTCTGCAGTTATACTGCTGTATTAGTTGTAAAAAAGTATTATAATTCACCTATAAAGAAGTACGCCAAAGAAATGGCCACTTAATAGTGCTTTACCACACACATTTCCACCCCCTCTTTTCTCTCTCTCTCTCTCTCTCTCTCTGTCTGTCTGTCTCTCTCTGTCTCTGTCTCTCTCTCTGTCTCTCTCTCTCTCTCTCTCTCTCTCTCTCTCTCTCTCTCTCTCTCTCAACTCTCATTCTCTCTCTGCCGAATTAAGTTTAGGAAGAAAGAACTTCTGAACGATATGTCTTGTCGTGATCGGTGTTGACACTTCAAAACCGTTCGGATGGGACCGGTGCGAAAATGAAAACCTGCTCTGTGTTTTCATAGACAGCCATTACTATAGTATTTTGTAATTAGTATTTAAATGGGAATAAGCCACACTTAAAGGTTAAAGTACGTTTATTGACGTTTCAAGTTCCACTTCGGAAATCGTTCTCAAAATACAAACAATAAATTTTTTTGTAGATTAATGTTTGTATTTTTTATTATTTGTATTTCCGAAGTGGAAATTGAAACGTCAATAAACGTACTTTAACCTTTAATTGTGGCTTATTCCCATTTAAATACTAATTACTTTAAAATGCCACAAGAAAATAGCTTCAGAACAATAGTGTTTTTTATTTATGAAAGTACTTCTTCCTCCTTAGCTGTTCCCTTTTCAGGGTCGCAGTTCTATACTCTCTGCCGTCACTCATGTCTGTTCATTGTGTCTCCTTCATTTAAACCATTCTCTCTAGAGTCCTCTGCCACACAGCGTTTCCTCAGTTTTGCTCTACCTCTATTTCCTTTAACTTGTAACACCTGTATCCTTTGTCCCACTTAGTTCTTATGTCTACATCTGATGCCACCAAATCATTGCAATGTTTGTTATTGAACGTTTTTTGAGACTGGAGTTAGCCTGACTCTTTTTCTAATCATGCCGTTTCTCATCTTGTTCCTTCTAGTCTTACACAACATCCATGTAACATTTTCTCTTTTATATCTTTCCTTTCAGCACTTCTCCGATTTATTGACCACAGAGTACCCCACTTATTCGCTTCCAATTAAATCAACCAGTTCCTTCCGACCAAATATACTCCATTTTCGACTTGTTTACTTTAAGTCCTCCCCCTTCACCCTGCCAACTTCTCGAACATTTATTTGCTCTCCTCCTCTACAAGATATCAGCAAAGTGCATTGACCAAGGAGCCCTTTTTTAACTTCTCAGTACACTGATAACGAAATTAAACAAGTAGGGACTCACTGAAGAGCCTTGATGCAAACCAACTGTCACTGGAAAACTTTCTTTCAATTCGACACAAGTTTTTACTTTGGTGTATACTCCCTCATACATATCTTTCTCCATAGCTCTTGTCTAGGAACTGTGTCATACACGGCTTCTTAAGCAAACAAGGCATCCATTGTCCTTTTTCCTGGCATAAACCCAGTGTTCTATTGATTTCTCCCTCCAAAATTTTCACTCTGCAGTTCTCGCCTAAAGTTTCATTATGTGCGACATTAACTAACTCTACAGTTCCTACACTCCTGAATGTCCTTTTTGTCTTTAGATAGTCACCCTAACAAACCATCACGCTAACCCTCCATGCATTGGGCATCCTTTCTTCCTCTGAATTTGTATTTCTGAAACAATTATGGGTTATTTATTAAATTGAAAAAAATTAAATATTTATTGTATAATTTTTTACCTTACTTATTTTCTTTTAGAATCGTATGGAAGAATCGAAGGCACTCTTCAAAACAATTATTACCTACCCGTGGTTTCAGCATTCGTCTGTAATATTATTCTTAAATAAAAAAGATTTATTAGAAGAAAAAATTATGTATTCGCATCTCGTTGATTACTTTCCTGAATATGAAGGTAAGTTAAGAATCTTAACTTTTTGTACAAATTGAAGCTGGAACTTAGAAATGATACATTAACATCTAAATAAATTATACCTATGTACTATATGACAAAGTTGAATGGAGACCTTAACCTTGGGCCACACAAAACAAACGTGACTATTCCGGCTAACTGTTGTTTTGAGGTGGAAAATTGTTGTTTTGAAGAAAAATGTGAATGTTTTCAATTTCATTTAAAATGGATTTTATTTGGTCCAGCAAAAAAGCAATGTAATTTATGTTAAAACAGTAATAAACATAAATTTAAACAAAATTTCACTATAATTCAATTATTTTTTCTTATTGGAAAGAAATTCTTATACATATTTATATTTTCCTTTCATATCGTATCAACTTCAGCAAACTATCATCGTCACTTTTATGGCACTAGGTAAGTCAAAATTTAAAGAAATTAATGAATATTAGCTTGAACATTCACCGAAAGTAATTTGTATCTAAAATAAGTTTAGTAAACTCCACTCAGTACAGTACAGATCATTTTCTAAAAATTTCTCCCCCATCTCTTAGTTTTCAATTAAATTATGGTTTGTCTGACCTTATGTCTTAAAAAAAAATGTTTCCTTTTTAAAGCGAAATTCTATCGAGTATATGTACTTCTATTTTTATAATCTCTACAATTAATTGTACCTCCATAATCATTACTTCCAACAAATTGTTGGTACAATTTGTGGTCAGCTGATTTGGATAATTTTTTCTTTGTTTATTTTGTAATATACAAATTATCATTTAGTACTTATCTGGCTAGCGTTACCACATGGTAATGCCTTATATAAATATGCTCACTGATAAAATGGGTTATATTTTATGAAATAGTATACTTATTAAAAAAAATGTTAATGACAAAAATTTCTAAACTTCTAGTCAACATTTGACAATTTGAGTATGTATATATATATATATTAATCTTCGAAAATGAATGATTAAGTATTACCCATATTAGATCACTCTGACTAAAACTATGATGAGAAAAGTGGAAGTTTTCGAGATGTGGCTTGACAGAAGAATTTTAAGAATATCTTACATAGACAGGGTCACAAATGAAGAACCCTTATCAGAAAAATAACAGAACTGGATAATGAAAGTCACTTTGCCATGTGATAAGAGGAACAAAATACCAACTTCTGCAAAGTATCATATATAATCTCAGATGGTTTAATGTGTTTGAATTGGATTTTTTTCGCCAAAGCTATAAAACAAAAAATAATTGCCATGACTATATAATTTTTTAATTTTTACGCCCAGTTTTTTTGAAGTATTTCTATAAGTATAGTACAAGTAAGTAGCCCTAACCACTATATGTTGGAACAAGCAATTATATTTTGCGAATAAAATATTAATTTACCGAAATTCTTTTATTTTAATTTTTTTATTGCAAATATGGAATTAATAAAATTTTTTATGATGTATGGAATTATTTGATAGCCAAAACATGCTGACAACTAAATATTGGAACAAGAGGCTTTTAACAAATTAAAATAAAAATTAAGCGTCGCCCTTAGCTTGAATAAAAGCCTGAACTCTATTACTCATTGTATCAACTAGGTCTTCACAGAATTTAGGGGTGACACTGTCCCATATTTCTTGCAATTTAACAAATAGTTGTGGCAAAGTACACTGAGGGTTATTTCTTAAGTGTTGTTTAATTTTTGACCTAAGCACTATGGGCGTGGAGAATTGGATGGAGGTTGCTTAAGACAGAAAACAGTGGAGATATGTTGTCGAGTCGGCTAAAACCCACGAAGGGATGTAACGCCACGGAGTAAGTAAGTTGTGTAATTTTTTGTCAACGTGCCTCTATTGGATTAAGATTCGGGCTGCGAGAAGGATGTGACAAAACTTTAGTCATGTTTTTCCGTCCATTTTTTGATAGATTTAGCCTCAAGTCATGTGTCTCTGTCCTGCTGAAACTAAAATCTCCGGATGGATGTAACTTTGCACACTTGGTATATCTTAATATTTGGCAGCATTTACTATGGACTCAATATAATGTAAAGTTCTCAACCCTTTGGCTGACATACAAACCTACACCATGATGTCTTGTTGAAACTTTACAGTCCTTTTGAGACAATCCTTATGAAATGCTTCTGTTTTTCCCAGAATCACATGCTTTCTATAATGTCCCACATAGACATCAAATTTGCTTTTGTCGCTATATATAACTTTGTCCCAGTTATGTTTGGTACATGAAAATTTTGATTTAGCCCAACTGTAATGATTTTTTAAGTCTCCGTCAAAAATGGTTTTTCTTTGGCATACTAAAAAAAATCAAAAAATATAAAATTTATATCGTAAAGAAAAACCTATCAAACATACCTTATAAAAACTAAGACCGCTTTTGTGGATAAATTTGTTACAGCATTCTCTGGAAACATTCGTCCCAGTTTCTCTATTCCACCTTACAATTAAATGCCTTACACTCATTTGAGAAACAGCTTTTGGACGACCTGAGACCTGAGCTTTTGCCGCGAACATCAATACTGGCAGTTTCACCATATTACTTAATTCCAATATTTAGTTGTCAGCAGTTTTCGATTATCAACCAACTAATTAAATAGTATTCAATATAAAATATATAAATAAAATATATAAAATATATATATATATATATATATATATATATATATATATATATATATATATATATATATATAAAAATAATTCCATACATTATAAAAAATGTTGTCAATTTCATACTTACAATTAAAAAAAAATAAATAGAAGAATTTCGGTATTATATTCTCAAAATAACTGCTTGTTCCAACATATAGTTGTTAGTGCTCGTATGAAATAAATAGTATATGTTTCATGATGTACTGATAGTCCGCCTACATAATATTGCTCTTGTGAGCCTTCAGTGTGGCCCATTTGACCTCAGCTCAAGTCAGGTTTGTCATATAGTACTATTTCTAATAATCTTCATAAATTCCAACAACTATGACTTAGAAAATGTGTCGTTATGATTTATGTGAAAAGCAATCTAGGCTTATCTAAAAGACTACTGTATATGCAGAAAATTTTTCTCAACAATTAATTTTGTATTCAAAGCTAGTAATATTGTTAGGTTTAGTTAAGACTAATATAGTAACACTATATTAGTCCCAGTTTAAATATAGCTAAAATTATAAGAACAAGTATACTTGTTGGAATTTTACAAAATTACAATAAAAAAGAAACTATTTAATATTGAAAAACCTATTTTGGACAAGGTGCAAAACAAGATCATATCGGTGCCAGAGAATACATTTTGAAGCTTTATCTTCGTGAAAATCCTGATCCAGAACGTTCCTGTTATTCTCACTTTACTACAGCTACAGGTTTAATGACTTAACTATACTATGTATTGCTAGTGTGAAGCTATTTTTATATACAGACTAATAAAAGTTAAATATTTTCTTGAAAAAGATTAATTCAATTTGAACCACTTATATGTCTAAAATGAAACAGAATTACAGAATTTCGGTGATATATCAGTGAGCATTCAACGATCCTCTATTAATAAACAGGAGATCAGTACTCCCTTCAAATGAAATTCCTGCCAAAACATTACAGAGCACAAGCAGCGTAACCTTCCCTACGTCTTCTGTAGATAGTTTTGGATTGCTCTAGCCGTAAAGAACCGATTTTGCAAAGAGGTGCGTGTAAAGTACAGTCTTCTTTGGCCGTCGTGATTCTTCTCGCGCCTGATCCTGATCGTCGTTCTGATCAAACTGTGACTGACCACTTCTCTTTGACTGATTCCATTATCAATCAAAGTAACAATTTGAACAGATCTAGCAAATCTCTCAGCCATAGTTTTAAATTTAAAAATTGCACAAGTTTACTTTTTGAACAACTGTACACTAATGAAATATTTTTGAAAAACAGAACAGCCATATTCCAAGAAAAACAACGTACAAACAACACACGCATTCTCCGAAGTCATAAAACTGATATCAATTTTGCGAACTTGTTACTCTTAATTGACCCAGTGGCGAAGTGTTTCTGTAAAATGATTATATTATGTGTTCAGTAGGTACGTTGGATCTTTGCATGTTATCATCATTAATATTTATTATGAGAATTAAACCAAACCATGGTGAGCCAAACTTACGTTAGTTATAAGAATTAGAAAATGGCTAATATTATGCTGAACATTTTTATACCTTTATTCCATTTTTTGGTTTTTTAAAACTGACTATACATTTATAAACGTGATTTTCTAATTTTCGGAAACCTACATGTTGTCAATAGCATCTACAGTAAATAACTATTTAAACTGTAGTATGTCAACCATTCAGCATGCATGAAATGCTGAATGAACTTCATGAAAAATCACTGCAAAAAGGCCTAAAAATTAACTTCAACAAAACAAAAGTAAACAGAAAAAATAGAACAGGTAAATGAGTATATCTATCTAGGACAAGCAATCAGAGCTAACATAGAAAATCAAACAGCCGAAATATTGAGACGAGTAAGAATGGGATGGGCAGCGTTCGGCAAACTTTTCTACGTTCTAAAAAATCAAACAATCTCTCTATACTTACGAAGCAAGGTATATAACTCCTGTATAATACTGGTGCTCACCTACGAAGCACAGACATGGACATTTACACAGGCCAATTTGAATAGGATAAGGAAGGCACAAAGAGCGATGGAGAGACACATGTTGGATATATCACTTAAAGATAGAAAACGTAACCAGTGGATCAGAACTAGAACAAAGACAGTAGACGCGATAGAACAAGCAGCAAAACTGAAATGGAAAGTGGCGTCCATACAATGCAAAAAGATCAAGAGGCAGACCACAGATGAGGCGGAAAGATGACATCAGGAAACAAGGAGGTCCCACATGGCAGAGAACAGCTCAAGATAGGGAAAGATGGAGAGAACTGGGGGAGACCTATATCCAACAATGGAAGGATAGATAATAGGTTAAAAAAAAAAGTCAACCATATTTTTTTTTCTCGGATATACTACTTTTTAATACTTTGTCTCACACATGTCCCATGTTCCCAAATTTCTGTGATACATTGGTTTAGTGGCGATAAGAAGTTAGTCTCAACTTTTCATTGGCTGTGTTCTCTTAGTAGCTCATCAATTGTATACACATTCTCTTTTCTGTTCATTTTTGCAATTTGTAATAATTCAGTTTTTGAGTTTTGCGTTATACTTGATATTGTTTATTGTCAACCAGGTAATATTTCAATTCTAGTTAAAACATAGTAAAGTTGCTCTTCTAAAAGAACACTGATATGGTGCATTATCCATCACAATTAATGATAGCTCTTTTAAATTGAGAATTATTTGTACCCTTATCCATTTAGTGAAAATTTCATTGTTAATTTCCCCGTGATAATCAGTTACGTTAGATTTTGAGCAAAATAATAAAAACTTTTTTTGAAGATCCAGTGTGAAAAATTATAAAACTTCATAGTCTTCTGGTTTACATACACTTTTAATTAACATTGTCGTTTTACAAGGAAATTGATTTATTTCCCTTTAAATAAATTCAGGTTTCGTCCAAAAAACAAGGTCTTTAACGCGCACACTATAATATTTTTCATATATTTACTAAGAAAAACAGCAATACTAGTGCATTCAGTTAATGCTGTTCGATTATTGCCCGTTTTGTATTTAAATCTTAATTCTTTTAACAAAATGCTAACAGATGTTTTGCCAATGCATACAACTTCTTCATCCCTAATTCATTACTTATACTTTGCAGAATAACAAGGTCTCAGAAAAACTTGATTACCTAATAAACCGCACTTTTCTAACTAGTTCAATGTAAAGAAGAAAATGAATAATTTGTTTTTTATGTTTTAATTAAATTTTCTTTATAAAACAAGATAATAAAACAAGAAAATTGACCTAATATCAATCAATATATTCAGCACACATTTCCACAACTACTTCTTCAATCTTTTTTTACAACTATATTTATTATCAAATTTACATTGAAGAAGTTGGCACCTACTTTGTTGGCACATGTTGTATATTATATTCTGTACTACCATTTTTGATCATCAGATGGATTTATTGTCTATTTTCAAAGGAGGTCTACATTTAAAGTAGCTGCTACTCTATTAAATAAAGAATTGTTCAGTGATAAGTATATTTTAACACATTAAACACCACGTGAGTTGTATTTAACTCGCACCCTGTTTGTACAAGGTGTTATGTGAGTTAAATATAATTCCATAACTGTTGAGATTCTTGACTTGGAGCTTGAAATAAAAAAAAATATTTTAATTTGGCGGTTATGTGTTAATGTTGATAAACAAACATACATTTCAATATATTATCTGTTAAAAAGATGAAAATGAAGATGAAATAAAGGAGAATCGAAGGTCCTCCTTTATTTTTTTCTTATTCGATTCATTAAACTAAAATCGTTGTGCTTGAGAATTTAATGGTTTACCAGGCTAAAAAAAATATTTAATATCTTTGACGTAGTTTTAGCTAGATTTATAATGTCAATATATTATTTCTCGTCATAACTAATAAAGTGTATGAATCAGTATCAATAGGATTTTATAACGTCATTTCAGTGTAACCCTGCATCGTCAGATATCCGGGTAGGTACAAACTAACACACACAGAACGGCCAGCGAATATCTCTGCTTGAGAATGATAGCTACAAAAGAGCCATCTACTCTCTTAGTAACAAGTTTACTTGTGTGAATTTGTTAATATTCGTGAAACTCATCTTGCAGACAATTTGTTATGTTAAATTGAGCAATAAGTGTATTATATAACAGATGGTTTGAGGGAAAATATCTGCAATAATTTGCAGCAGGAAATCACAAAACCTTTTAACATTTTCTTGTGTAATGGCTGTTGTGAGTACTCTATCTGCATGTTTCTCTGTACATGACTGTCTACCAAATTTAAACTCACATCACCTTGTCATCGCGTCATTTGATACTGCAGATTGCCTTAATGTATTAAAATAAATCACCAGTTATTTCTGGACCGGATCCATTTTGATACTGAGATGTTACTCAAATTCAGATGTCTGGTATAGGCTCGCTTTAACAGTTTTATACTTGTAATTTTCTGGTGTGAATCTATACATAACTTGTTACAATGGGACGTTAAAAGTAAATAATTGGTTTAATTTATAAAGGGGGCTAGCATACGTGACATGTTAACAAAAAAATCACTGAATTGTAAATCTCTACTGATTGATCGGGATTTAGATAAAGGAATAGTTACTGGAATAATATTCATAAAATTCAAGTCTGTATATATAAATAGCAATCCTTGTAGTAGCTTACAGTAATCCTAAAAATATTTGAATTATTTACCTGCTTAAAGAATTTCGATGTTACATAAATATACAAATTGAAGTAGAAATTCTCTATAAACTATTGAAGATTTACATTAAACAAAGTGGCGATACTAGAATATGAACAACATATGTTAGACTCGATTCATGGCAGTTATGACTTCTTAGGCTCATTTAAACTGAAAATGAATTATTATAAAAAATAAGAATCAGTCTGTGAAGAAACTAGAATCATTATTTCTTGATTTATAAATGTATCATAACATACACCTCAGACTCTTCAAGTTTTTTTTTTTATATAGGAACGATATAGTTTGTTTTTTTGGGAGGAAGTATTTATTTGAGGAATATAAATGTCACCGATTATGTCAATACACTAGTATATCTGTCATTTGATCAGATGATGTTATGTACATTTTTACTACTTTACAGGAGAGTCAAAAAACCGTTCATGGGAGTTTGAGTTTAAGGTTTTACCTATGAATTAGCAATTTTCATAATATAAAAATATATTAGTCGATGTGATATGTTATAATTTAATTGACGATCCCTATATAGCTGAACAAGAGTTTCAAAATAAAAGAAAAATTTGAAAAAATGACAATTATCATGTTTTGACCAAATGATTATTGTTAAAGGATATCACTTTATTATATTCCTATGTTGGAATTATTTAACTCTTTTTGAATTAATAAAACTTAATTACTACAAAAATATTTATTTATTAAAATATTTAGCATACAAAATGGCAATATGTAAAAAAATATCTTATTATGCATCGTTTTCGCTTTCGTCACTATTACTGACAACGTCGTTTTTCGTCATTGAATGCGGTAGGTTTTTATAAAATGGATGATAAAGTGGGTCTATGAAAGGTAATAGACTTAAAATGTCCTTATATTTTTCTTGGCTGATTCGAATTTGCTGTTTTTCATAGGCAAGAGAAACAATAATATTTGACGAGTCATAGTTATTCTTTTTTCCTCTTCTAATATCAATAATTTTAAACGGTTCATCTTCAAGTAAACTGCGCTTGTAAAATAG